CCCCAAAACCCCAAAACCCCAAAACCCCAAAACCCCAAAACCCCATCTTTAATAAGATTTCTTGAACCTTATTATTTCATATGAGCAATAATATGCAATGGATTTTCAATTATCGACTTCACAATGTTTGAAAATTGCACTCAGGTCGACCCATCTATTATTCTGTGGTCACAAGCAATCGAAACTGAAGCGATATCTCTTGGAACAATCTTCCCATAAGAATCTACTGAAGGCATCTTGTTTATTTTACCTAAAGCCATGGCTCAAGTCTGCGGTCTAATAATATTCGGGAATAGTTTTGAGCCTGACTCATTATAGTAAAGAGTAAAAGTACTTGTCTGAGAATTATCTTCAGAAAAATTCAGAGTCTGGAACTCATTGACCTGCGCTTCTACCTCTTTCAAGGAATGCTTCTGGATATCCGGAATGCATGGAAGGGCTAATCCTTCTGGTAAACTATAAGCCAGCCCAATATTGTGATTCTTCTTCAGTACGTACTCGTGAATATACCCATCATCATCAACATCTGGATTTATGACACTATTCATCGTTGGAAAGAAGGATAAAGCTATGGAGATAGACTTAAGCATGACAGATAGTTTGCAGTAATCCTCATTCTTCTCAAATTCAAGTAAGTCAGTGAAGTCATACTCATCTGTAAACACGAAGAATGGAATTGATCTGCTTTGGCTCAATATCTGCTTTCTTCTATCATTTACCATAATGGTTTGATCGTCTTCCTCAAGCTCTGATAGGACAAAGCTAGGATCAGGCTTCCCTTTGACTGGAGGTGAGTGCTTGATTCCATATTTATCTGGATTTCTTAGATATTTCATCACGTCTGATTTTAGAAGCATCCCTTTCTTTCCTGTAGCTTTGATATCTTTGAGGTATAATCTATTCCTGATCAGATGAATTCTAGCAGCAGGAGAGATTGGCTGCTCTATGTCAAGAGCTCCAAGCATGTAATCATGGTGATTCGGGACTATTTCTAGAATATGAGTTAGACATTTAGGGCTATTTAAACATACCATGGGGCACTCCTTGCATATTAGCAATTCCTCTTTCTGAGACACTTGAAAGAGTTATCGATCTTTTATAAGAGCTGATCTTTTGTCTGATCTAAATTGTTTAAGATGAATATGATCATAAATGGTTGAAAAAGAATCTAACTTACTCCAAAGCTAGACTTTAATCTCCACATTTATTAGGAATATTTTCTACCTAATTAATATTAAATGGGGTTTTGGGGTTTTGGGGTTTTGGGGTTTTGGGGTTTTGGGGTTTTGGGGTTTTGGGG